AGAGAGAGAGAGAGAGAGAGAGAGAGAGAGAGAGAGAGAGAGAGAGATGAAACAAGAAAGAAAGAAAAGGAGAAGGGGGACGGAGTTGGCCCAGCAGTTAAGAGCCCATACTGCTCCGGCAAGAGCCCTGAGTTCCCTTCCCAGCACCTAACTCTGTTAGTTCTTAACCCTCTGCAACTCCAGTTCCAGGGAATCCCAGGACCTCCAACGGCCTCTTCGAGTACCCATACAGACATACACAGACAGACAGATGATTAAAATAAAATAAATCTTATTTTTCATGAGAGAAAAGGTATGGGACTATCACTCATCTCCGTTTTAACTAGTTTTCACACCGAATTTTCAATTTTCTGAACACCTAAAAGAGATACAACCAATACTGTCTCCCTTTATCATTAAGGAAATGAGGAAAGAGACAGGAAGAGACCTGCCCTGAGTCTGACTCCCAGGTTTAGCGCTCCTCTCATGCCCTGCGGTGCACCACTGATAGACCAGAGGTGGCACAGAAGGCTGAGGGCACCGCCGACAGGTACTTCAGCCCTCCGTTTCAGGGCCCGGATTCTCAGGTTCCAGAGACCAGCTGCGCAGCACTGGGAGAAGGGGGTGGGGCAGCTACATTCACCAGCAGCCCCCAGGATCTTAAAACAGTGATGTGAGGTTGGGGTACAAAGAAGATTCACGTTAAATTAGTCTGCAAAGCCGCCCCCGCCTGTAAGGAAACGACCCCTAACCTCCATCAGACTTGCCGGGGAAACCCTACGGCTGCCTCTCCCCTAGCCCCTGGCTCCGGCCCTCGCAGCCCTCCTCCGAGACCCCCAGGCGCATCCTACCCGCGGAGGTCGGACTCTGCCCCCTCCTCGCCTTCTCCCTCCCCCCCGGGGGCGGTGGCCCATGGCGGGCGCTCCCATTGGCTGTGGCGCAAGCAAGGACTGGAGGTGGCGGTGCTGATTGGCCAGGGCGCCTCGGCGGAGCTTGGGAGCCTGGCGAGTCGCTGGGGGAAACCGAGCAGACGCCTAGAGCAGCCCGGAGCATTGGAAGGTGATCGCGCTAGTCGGACTCGCGGATCGCAGCCTGTAGATCGCGGCCGGGGCCTGGAGGTAAGAGTGACGCGTCCCGGAGCGCGTGGCCGACCCTTCCAAGGGAAGCCCTGCACCTGGGAAGCCAGAGTCCGGCATCTTCTTCTAGAATCTGGGCCCTCCATCCAACCAGGACGCGGGCTTCTGCTCCGAAGGAAAAGGGTCTCCCACTCCCCAGGCCCCAGGAAGCAAGACAGCTTCATGTAACCTTCAGAAATGGGGCCGTTCATCCTGGTCGCTGACTGGAGGAGAAAATCCCTCCCCTGTTTAACCCTTGGAATAGAATGCTGCTCCCTCAAGTGGAGCCCTGCCTCCCCAGATATCTAGATCCTCTACCATCTCCTCCCATTCCTAAGAAACTAAGTTAGGATCTCTTGCTTCTCTTCCATTCCTGTCTCCTTGGGATGTTGAGGTCATAGCTCGTATTGCAGGGTCCTCTCCCTCCCCGACTGGGAAAGTCCTGGAGAATAGACCCTCCCCTTCAACAAGGACATCCCGGGCCAAATCACCTGCATGCCTACCCCAGGAGCTAGGTTATGATTTCTAAAGACAAATGAATTCTCTCCCATCCCTATGAAGACCCTTCTCCACCATTAGGAGAGGCCACATATCCTCTCCTCAAAAAAAAAGCTTTTAGGGGCCTGCTTTCAGTGGAAGGGGAGAGACTTTTACACCTCAAACAGGCATTTTACACCCCATACACATTCCTGGCCAGGTGACCCATCCTCCATAATCTTTTCACCGAAATCCCACCCTATTAACACTGCCACCCTCCCATCCTTTCCCACCCCACTCCAACTCCATTCCCACACCTTCTGGTCCCTCCTGATCATCCATCCTTGAACCTTCCTCAACCCAATGACTAAAGACCAAAAGAGGTTTCATAAAACTGGGGCCCTTGAAACTACCCCAGGCCTAGAGCTCCTTTCAGGAACCCTCAACCAGCGGGCACCCCCTCAACCAGCAGGCACCCTACCACCACCACCTCCATCAGCACAAACAGAAAGGGCTGTTACTCAGGGCTACCCTCCAGAGGCAGGTCTCTCCACTCCTGGACAAAGGGGAATCAACATAGAGAAGGACTGTAGGCCCACTCCAAGGGTCCCCTGTTTGCTTCCTGGGCTGCCCGATCAACTCCAGTGGCCGTTACCCGATGGAATTCCCTGGGCCTTAGGCCAAGAAAAGGATGCTGCTAGGCTTGTCCATTGGTCTGGAGACAGTGTTGGCTTAGCCGTAAGGCTTCCTCACAATAACCTAGTTTGGTGGGGGGCAGATCAGGAGATGGTAAAGCAATGAACTGGCTTGTTTCTGGATCTGGGCACAGTGATACAGAATGGGGAGAAATGTGTTTCCAGGAGGCCAGGGGTCAACTCTGAGAGGGACAAATGGCCCTGGCTGAGGTCCTAAAATGTGAAAGAGTACCTGGCTTAAGACTACTGTTTGTTTGGTAGTTGAACAAACTGAGAGAAAGGGACTTGCTCAAGGTGACCCAGCCGGTCACAGACAAAACCAGCAAAGCTCCCACAGGGACCCTGGGGCTCCCCAGCACTAGCTCCAGTCGTTATGCGCACAGCCCCCATGTCCCCACTCGTCATGGGAAGCAGGAACACTGAGAAAGTCAGCTCAGAAGGAGCCGAGCTTGTAGAACGCCTGTCACCACTCCACGGGCTCCTGACGGAAGCCGTTCCTGGGGGTCTTACAGATTTCTGCCTTGCACCTGCTGCCGAACAAAGCATGCTGAAATCAAGACCAACTCAGTAGGAGGATGTTATCAGTTACGATAGGGCCAAGGCCACCACTGCTAGAGCCAAGGCCACTGTGCAGACCTCAGTTGCACCCTCAAGAAGGGTGTCTGAGGAAGTTGCACCCTTTTCCTTGCTGTCCCTGCTCATTCTCTCTGGTTCCCATCCTCTGCAGCAATGGCTTGTCCCTGCTCAGAGTTCTATACCCTTTCCTGGCACATGGGTGGTTCTCCGAGACCCTTCGGAGGGGTGAGCAGTAGTAGATGGGAGAGTCTGAGGTCGCAGCTCTCTATTCTTCCCTCAGCTGGAGGGGAGCTATCTGACTTCAAGGGAGAGCCAAGAGCAGAGTTCAAGGTGAAAGGGCAGAGGTGAGAGTGTTGGCTTCCACCTGCTACTTGGTATTTAATCTTGGAAAGATTTTTTTCCTTCCTTCCTTCCTTCCTTCCTCCCTCCCTCCCTCCCTTCCTCCCCTCTCCCCCTCCCTTCCTCCCTTCCTTCCTTGGCGGTCTCAAGTAGGACAGGCTAGCCTCCACCTTCCTGCATAGTAGAAGATGACCTTGAACTCCTGATACTTCTGCCTCCACCTGAATGCTAGGGTCATACCTGGTTTCCTTGCAATGCTGACTGGGGCGAAGGGTTTGGTCCATGCTGGGCAGCTAACCGACTGAGCTATGTCCATTGACCTTTGGGAAAGCCCTTCTTTCTGTGTTACTTATCCCTTGGGTGAAATGAGTTAATCCTCAAAGGAAATAGCACAGCTGGTCGGTAGAAACAGTGGTCACAGTTTCGACTGCAAAGTCAACTCAAACTAATAGAACACGGCGGTGATGCTTCTAGATGCGCCTAGGAACCTCCGTTGCAGACAGTGCACAGGACAAAGGCAACAGACAAGCAGGGGCCGTGGGAGATGAATGAGCATTTAGGGAAACGGAGCAGCGTATAGAATGGACCACAGACCTTAAAGTCAGTCGGAACCTAGGGTCAGCCGTTCATTAGCTTCTTCTGGGGGAGCATGAGCCTATCAATGACTTCCATGAGCCTCCATTCTTTGTCCTTAGCCTGTGGGGGTGGGCATCAGGCGAGGGACAGCCTGGATCAAGGTTTCTGATTCTTAGCACCACAGGCATTTAAGTTGGGCGATTCTCGGCTGTGAGTTTTATCTCCTTCCTTGTGTTCTGTACACTAGAAGCCAGTAACACTACCTCAGTTGATGGAAAATATCTCCTGGTAGGATAGGGAGGTGGCTTAGTGGGTATAATGTCTGCTATGTACGCATGAGTTGAATCCCTAGAACCCACATAAGAGCCAGGCTGGACAGCTAGGGGACGGAGACAGGTAAATCCCTAGTCAGCTAGTCTTGACGGTCAGTGAGAGACCCTATCACAGAGAATGAGGTGAGTAGCTGTAAGATGCCTGGCCTCGACACATGTGTGCATGAGTGAGCACAACCACACATACACACAAGTGCACATATACACCGCACACACATACACACATGCGTGCACACACGTGCCTCCAGGAAATCACATGTCAGGCAGAGGACAAAATCCTCCTCCTCCTGCATTGAGAATGAGTGGCCTAGGCTGGTGCTTGAGCTGAACCGCCTCGCCGTCGCACCCGTCCTTCGCTGTGGTGCCTTCCTGATGGGAGGGTGGGGAAGGTTCGGCTACCTCCAGACATCACTGACATTTTAGGCTCACTCCTTTCAGCAGAACTTTGCCATTCACAGAGCACCATCAGGCTTCCCATTTTATAGACCGTGGCGATGAAGAGTGTCGTGTGAGACCATCATCCCTTTCCCCCACAGAGGCCAAAGAAATGCTCCTAGAAATGTATTGCAGTTCTTTCTTTATGTGGGAAGGGCTCTTTGTGTGCACGTTGAGGTTGGAGGATAGCTATCTTAGGGTTGGTCCTTTCCTTCTATCCGTGAGTCCCGGGATGAAAGTCCAGTCTTTAGTCTTGGCAGCAAAGGCCTTCACCTACTTTCTGAGCCTGGACCACAGTTTTGAGACCATCTCGTTCTAGAGGCTTTCTCAGAAGCACATGAGGCTCTGTCCCGTACAATTTAAACTCCAGGGAGACCCAGCAGCCTAGCACCCCTGGATGTGCTCCAGCAATGTCCCCACATGTATGCAGGTGACATAGGAACGCCCGCTTGTCATCACAGTGTGGGAAGGGGCAGCATTCTGGTGTGATCCGATGGAGAAAGGAATAGCCTTTGTAGAAGAATGAGATAGGTTAGGCCCCAAGTCTGGAAAGGTCTCAGAGGCGTATAATTCAGTGAAACAGAATCACTGGGTCATTACAGAAATGCACAAGAACATGAGTAGTGGTGACTATTGATGACTCCGTGGATGGAAGGGCTTGTCACAAAGCTAATGACCTGAATTCCAGCCCCAGGACCCACATGGTGAAGGAGGGCAATGACTCCTAAGAAGTGGTCCTCTGGCTTCCACAAGAATACTATGACAAATACAGACAAATAAATGTGTTTAGGAATCATGGGGGAAAAAATGGTCCAGCAGTGGAGGCACACATCTTTAATCCCAGCACTCAGGAGGCAGGGGCAAGAAGATCTCTGTGAGTTCGAGGCCAGCCCTGGTCTACATAGCAAGTTCCAAGACAGCCAGGACTACACAGAACAACTCTGTCTTGGAAAACAAAACAAAGCCAAACAAAAAAAGTAAAAAGTAAGAAAATGAATCACCATTTTAGCACATTAGCTTCTCATCAGAGTGATAGAAAGAAAACTGATAGGGAGGTGATTCCCAAAAGGAGACACACTGTGTGTGTAGGGGGAAGGGACACACTGAGTGTGTCAGGGGAAAGGGGACACACTGTGTGTGTCAGGGGGAAGGGAACACACTGAGTGTGTCAGGGGAAGAGGACACACTGTGTGTGTCAGGGGAAGGGACACACTGAGTGTGTCAGGGGAAAGGAGACACACTGTGTGTGTCAGGGGGAAGGGAACACACTGAGTGTGTTCAGGGGGAAGGGGACACACTGTGTGTGTTCAGGGGAGAGGAGAAGGAGCCGCAGCAGCTTCTGTTACTTGAGGAAACAAAGCCCAGAGACTGATCCTCATGCAAACTTGAAGTTGCCAATGGCAGAAACTCAGAGCTTCTGAGCTTCCGGAGAGTTGTGGGGCTAAGACACAGGAATCAGAGACTTCATCTGTGCCGGCTGAGTGTGCCGATGTGCGTCTGTGCCGGCTGAGTGTGCCGATGTGCGTTTTCAACTGCCTGCTTGTGAAGCTGGGCTTCTCTGGGCAGCCTCTCT